GAGGCGGAGGCAGCGGCGAGGAGGAAGGGGAGTCGCCGGCGGGACGGGTCGCACGTGTGGGCGTTGCTCGGGTAGCTCCGATTCGGCCTTCTGCCGCAGGTCCTTGAGGCACCGCACGCGTGGGGAAATTGTAATCCGTTCGATCTTGCGATGTCGCTACGATGGCTGCTTTGTAAATACCAGGTTTCGAGAGGGTGGGTGTGGCAGCGTGAGGCGTGTATAAATATTATAATATCATAAGGCTGCTGCTATTGGTTGATATTAATTGCGTTTAAATTCATCTGAGAGAGGTCAAACCAAGTCAATCGTATCATGTCAGAAACTTCGCCCTCGTCGTGGTTCAGATCACTAATTGATGAACACAATCCCTTTCAAATAAAAGGAAAAAACTTAGTCTAGAAATTAATTGCATGTCACATAGTTAGATGTCATATCAACGTTCTCCACAGGTTTTCTTGTACTTTTTCATTGTGGTATTAATTTCTTGGGTCCTACGATGCTGGTTTCGTACTTGTGGGGTAAGTCGCACCCTTTGAATTTATTTCTTTTAACCTAATAAAAATTATTTCTTTTCAATCGGTTTATAAGATTCAATGATTTAGTTTCTTCCAAAAATTATAAAAAAATAATTTAGTATTTAGTAGTACTATAGTGAAAGTTTTTAGCGTATTTTATATTGTCGACTTTTTACCGTATTATATTCTTCATATTTATTTATTTTTACTTAAAGTTTTTTTATTTTGATAAAACTACCCTCGATCTTTTACTAAATTGACTTATCATATATGCTATTATTACAAAATCTTTAAGAAATAAAAATATATATACTAATAATCTTAGAATCATTACTAAAGACGATTAATAATTTTATTTTATTTTTTAAAAAATTATAATAACTAATTACTAAAATTAAAGATTTTTGAATAACATCGACAAAAAGTACAAAGAAACTTTGGGGTGTCATCTGATTAAAAAGCTAATATTAATTTTTTTCAGTAAAATACCCAAATTCTTAAACCATAATGAAACAATCAATTTGAAACATCAAATCAATACGAAATATCAATATTGTTTACATATCAATTGGGACCATACGGTTTGGCATGTAACCATCAATTCGTGAAAGGTTGTAAAAAGCTCGAAGCCTCCTTTGTCAATTATTCGAGCAGTGATGCGTAGAGTGCAGACAGTGACTACGACAGCAACCGATACATCACTGTCAAGGAATTATAAAGCAATGTAGGATTCTGTATCATACCTGAAGGCTGAGAGCAAGGCAATGGCTCAGCTTCTTGATATGATCAACCATTTGTTTCCAGGGTGGTGACATCGAAGATGCATGCGAAAGCTCTCACGAGAAGCTTAATCCGACTCCAGGCTCATCGATTGCGACTAAAAGAATAAAAGTCATCCATCATCTTAACGTGAAGATTCACGAGTGATCACAGCTCGACACAGTCGTTCCGAGTATGTTCACAGCAGCAATGAATTGCCTCGAGGTTAACGGGCTGTCAGCTAACAGAAAAGGCCCAAAACATTGCATTCATGTCATGTACCACGAGTTGAGACTCTGTCAGACATTACGGCGAACACCTGATAGCCCAAAAGCCCACAAACTCTGAGCAAGCAACTACTGTCAGGAAAAGGATCCCTGCGAACATGGTCAACGATGTCACACTCGAAATCTAGTTCGATAAAATTGACGAAAGGCAAACCTGGGGATCCACCTGTTTCTTGAAGGGAGGTACGAGTTCTTCCCCCTGCTAATAGCACCAGCAGAACGCAGATCATGTTAGCTATGTCAGAACTTGGTGACATGGCACACATCACTTTTTGGGCTGTGCTGTGTCGGGATCATCTCATGCATCTGTAGCTCTGGTTTTTTGCTTGAAATCCAAGACATGGCTATAGAGTCTTATGATGAATCTTTTGGACCATGAAGTAACAATGTCACTCGGGCAGTGGTGCAGCCAAAATTGATGTTGCTCAGAGATCAAACCCCACATAGCCCGATCTCGTCTACCATTGGAATACTTTGCTTACAAGTAACAGCAAGCAGCATATGCTTAATACGATAGGTTAAAGAACATCATCTTCTCTGGCCTTCATCACCGTATTATATGAGGCATCACAACTGCTGTCAACAACAACAACGACGACGACGACATGTTAAATAGAACCTTAATCTTGACACGGTGATGAGAGGTTCAACAAAGCGAGATTCCCTACAAAAGTGTAAAGGCTTTCGCTTTGGAGCATGAGACCACATGGGATCATGGCAATGGGAGATCTGGCGATGAAAAGAGGGAGGAGGAAAAGAGGACGATGAACTGTGCCCATCTGTAAAAGAAACGGCAATGGGGACCCCCCAAAAGCTGAAGCCGGAAGGTGGAATGTTTGGGACGCGTCGAGTGCGTGCGGTGACAGACAGCGCCATGATAGAAAGCTTAGGTTGCAAACTACAGGCTTTGTTAGGGCTTACAAAAGCCAGTGGTTGAATGCTCCATCAACTGAGCTTGAAACTTTAGTGTGTGGCTTTCAGGATCTTTGTTTATATCGGAGAAAAAAAATTGTTGGTGTTCATGACGGTACGTTTCAATTTGATACCGGTAAGCTGAATCTTTTTTATTTTTTTTTGCTGTTCTACGTGACAATTTGACACGCATTTAATATATAATTCAATATTTATATAATTTAACTTAATTTTGATAATTTAATATTATATATATATATTCTTAAAAAAATATAAAAAAAATTTCTCACGTAATCTTCCTTCTTTCGTAAAAAGATTATTTTACCCTTGTCTATGTTGCATCAATCACCACCTTCACCCCCGATCGTCTTCTTGCATGTTTTCCTTACCTTCATGGATTATGTCCATGGTGACTAAAGGGAATGAAAGAGGATTGTCTCCCCCTACCCTCTGATCGTTATGTTTATAACAATTGAAAAAGGCGAAAGAGAAAACTCAAGAATTGATCACTAACTATCAACCCCTTCATAAAGAACTCACAAACCTTGCCCATGTTGTTTTAGCCGGTGACCCCCTCCACCAAGGATAATAATGGAGACGACATGTGGAGGTAGCTAGGGACCCACGCATGGAGACCGCTAGGGTTGGATGTGTAGGCGCAAAATTATCATTTATAAAAGAATATGTACTATGTAAAATTTACTTATATATATATATATATATGTGTGTGTGTGTGTGTCTAGTTTTATATATTAGCTTTAGCCAATATATAACATGGTAATAAAATTTAGTATGGTATAAAAGTTTGATCCAACATAAATATTATGAGATATAATATTACTAAAAAAAGTATATTTAATGCACAAAACACCCTAAGTAGAATCTGTTGATAGAAACAATATTAAAACTCGAGCTCAATAATCTATCTAGTTGTTGATTGCAAGGTGTCAAGATGACATCTTATCTTCATCAAAAGAAAAAAGAAGAAAATTGTTGATCCGTTGGATCCTCCTCCTCATCTTCTTTCTTTCTTTCTGTGTCCTCTCCTCATCTTCTTCTCCACCACCTCCTCCTCCATGGATGATCTGTGTGTTGATATATGGATTCAAAGAAGAGCTCATTGCAAGGAATGGCGATTTCATGGGCTCGATACGAGCATGTGCTCATGCTCTTAACTTGTCCCATGAACCTCTTCTCCGGACAACGACGTACGTACTCTCGGAGTTAGCACGTCTTTCCTTTCATCGGTTAGCATTCGGACGGGCACAAGACACAAGATGGCCTCTAGTGGTTTGGCAACCAAGTTAGGTTTAGTAGCTACGCCATCATCATCATTAAGATCATTGCGTTGGATGTAGCTCGCCGGCCTTTTCTCGAATGAGTTCTAAAGCTTATTCGTCCTGATTCTACTCACTCAATTAACATCTTTATCATGGTCCTAGGCCAACCCTAAACCCAATTATCTTTAAGATTTATGAATATATCTAGTCCTTTTTCGGATCGTTTAAGCTTTTAAGATATTTGGATGAACAACGTTGGAGAGACATTACGATCGTTTATGTATGGAGACGATTAGATTTATTTCGATATTTCATAATTCTCTAAAAAAGAACTTACAAGATAAAAGAGAACATTGGAGAGACATTACGATCGTTTATTGAAATATGTTTTTTAGAGAAAAAAGGATGCAGTAGCAAAAGATTTAGATATTATTTATAAATTGTACTAATTTCTACTTTAGAAACCTTTTTTATTTTTTATTATAAAAAAGGGGAAAAGTTGGCTCATTATTCTATAAAATTATACTATATTAAGAGAAAATTATGACCAATCAACTTTACATTTGTTTTTGGTTTGCTAATGATGCAACAAAGGCATGTGTGGATGTCACATACTTCAATGCTGTATTGAATTCACAAGCATGTTTTATCCAACTTCCCATCACAACAATGCTCTTATTAGTTGGTATTAAGCAGAAGCAATTCCAAGCCTCATCAAGCAGTAGCCATGTTTACCTGCAATTGCAAGCCAAGTAATGCTGAAAACAACCATCCAACCCCTAATCTCTTTCTGACTATGTGACTGGATATATAAGTTGGACTCATCAGGTAAACTTTCCTCACTTCAAACTGTGAAGAGAAATGATCCACTTTGGATGGCACCATAAACCAAATCCAAGCAATCTAATAAGGCAGCAGATGAACTGAACTGAAGCCACTACTAGTCAGTAGCATAGTAACACACTTCACATCCAAAGGAGCTTTAAGTGGGTATTTTGCAGTGCCACCACCATGCTCTCTGCCAGATCTCAACTTACTTTGGCAGCATTATCTATCATCTTTAATTAACATATTAATCAAATTGATTAAGCTCTTCATTCTGTCCTTCCCAAGTTAGGTTTGGCATAGAAAAATTAGGTCCAGAGACCTGCCCACCTCCCACACTGCTACTACCTGCTCTTCCCTTTTGTGATCTCTTCATTGGGTGAAGTCTAATTTGAGTCCTCCTCCTCCTCCTCCTCCATTGTTGTCCAACAACTGTAATCTACTCTATCAATGCTTTGGATCCTGAAAGGAAGGGAAGGGGGAAGAGAAGGGAAACAGCATCTATGCCCTCTTCAGAAGCCTGTCTGTCTGTCTTCCCCTCCCTCCATGCCACCCAACTCCTCTGCCCTTTAACACTGCAACCTTCATCTCCCTTCCTTTGGCCCCATTTATTACAGTTCATGTGTTGCTCACTGTTGCCACACCAAACACCATTCTGGGTTGCCTTCTCTCTTACTCTATTAGTCCACTGTGCACTCTCTGTATTTTTACTGCTTGAACTCTGATCCCAATGCACAGATACACACTCTCCCAGTGCTATCTTAGCAGAGCAGCAAAACCTTGCATTACTTAACAGCAAAACCACACTAACACAACTAACAAAAGCTTTAGCAATATAGTGTGCGTCTCTGTAAGAGAGAGAGAGAGACAGAGACCGGTCTCTTCTCTCTTAGATGCAAATCCTCTCTCTCTCTCTCTCACACACACACACACACACAAGCATACACTCTACTCTGCTTCACACTCTTCTTTGTTTCCTCTCATTCTTATAATTCTCCTCCTCCGAGTAGTGCTGGAGTCCGGTGCTCCGCTGGTTGCGTAACCCCCTTCCCGTGCTTCCGATTGCTATAATTCGAGAGGGAAGCCGGAGATCGAGGTAGGGCGGCGAGATCGATGGTGGCCGCGGTCCCGGCAGCTGCCACCAACACCGCCGCCGCTTCCCGGAATGCTCCCCGCCACCATAAGAACACTTCGCCGCCTCCCCATCGTGATGATCTCCAGAACCCTCGCCGCTCGCCACTGATCCCCTCCGAAAAGGACAATGCTGCTGCCGGCACGAGGCGGCCTCGCGTCAAGGAGATCACTTCCCGGTACCTCTCGTCTTATAGTTCCTCCTCGTCCTCTACCTCCACCTCATATTCCACCGCCACTACCTTCTCTTCCTCGAGCGCTTCGTCCGGCTCGCGGCGCTTCCCGTCGCCGCTGGTGACCCCCCGGTACTCCACGCCGATGGCATTGCCCCAATCGACTGCTCAGAAGCGATCCCTCTCCGTAGATCGGGCTCGGCCTTCCACGCCGCAGACCGATCCCCGCCCGACCCCGGCGGAGCCCTCTGCCGCCGCGCGCACCCTCTGCAAGACGACGCGGAGCCTCTCTGTCTCGTTCCAGGGGGAGTCCTTTTTCTACCAGACTAGCCGCGCTAGGGCGGTCTCCCCCAGCCCCTCCCGAAAGCCTACTCCCGAGCGGCGGCGAGCTAATGCTTCTCCCGCCGCTCCAGCGAAGGCGGGTGACAATTTGGAGAACTCTAGGCCCTTTGACAACCACCACCGATGGCCCGCCTCCAGAGCCCGGCCGTCAAATCCGTCGATGAGGAGCTCGAATTGTTCATCTGAGAAGAAAGAACCGATCTTGGCCACCGTCAGGTTGCTCCAGCAGTCGATGATGTTTGATGATAGTGCGAGAAGGGCTTCGTTTGATGGCGGTGATCTCTCAGCTTCATCCGATACTGATAGTGTGTCCTCTGGCAGCAATTCTGGGGCGCTAGAGTTCAGTGTGCCTCCCAGGGCAAAGGTGACTTCCCGGGGAATCAGTGTCCCAGCAAGATTGTGGCAGGAGACAAACGGCCAGATGCGCCGCTATCCTGAAACTTGTTCTCCACTATCTTCGCCAGATTCAAGACCAAGGATGGGGGTGGTCAAGAAATTGTTGGTGGATAGCCCATCGTCTTCTCCGAGGTCTGTTTCTTCACCACTCCGTGGACCCATGAGACCTTCTTCCCCGAGTAAGCTTGTGGCTTCACCATCAAGGGGTATGGCTAGTCCTTTGCGGGCAAGGAGTAATGTATCGATGAGCACCTCTCCTGTTTGTCAACCAGGCAATGCACCTTCGATTATAAGCTTTGCTGCTGAAGTTCGGAGAGCAAAGAAGGGGGAGAATAGAATTGAGGAGGCTCACACGTTGAGGCTGCTCGATAACCGGCATTTACAATGGCGATGTGTTAATGCCAGGGCTAATGCTGCACTGCTAGTGCAGAAACTAACTGTAGAGGTAATCTTGAATGTTATTAGCTTTTTCAAAGTCATTTTTGTTTATAAATTCTTGCTACATTGTGATGGATTTCCTATTTGTTCTTCTTCCCAGCACAACATGAGCAAAGTTTGTGGCTTTTACAAAATCTTTCTGTGATTTAGAATCTTCCACTTTTTTTTCTTTTTTAATGCAAAGCATTTGTGGAGAGCATTATGCAAGATAAATTTGTGGCTGAATTGCATTCACTGAATATAGGTACCGTCGCTGAATATTCACATGAAAATTCTTAAATAGTAATTGTAGCTAATCTTGGGATGATTAGTCTTCCAAGGCTTATAATGTGAGGAAATCATCAGATGGAGGTTGTGCCAATTCTAAAGATCAGGAGGATTCATTGAAGGTGGTCTGTGTACGTCCAAATAATCTCTCTACATGAATAGTATAGGAATGTCAAGTTGGTTTAAACAGTTGAAACCAACAACTTATGATTATCCTGATATTCTCGAATGCTTTGCTTTAACTGAAGCATATTGCTCTATTGAGATTTGAATTTCATAATGAAGAACAAAATGAAGTTCATTAAATTAATGAAAAACTATTGATTTATGGATAAAAATGAAACAAACTTATTGCTCAAGAGCAGCAAAAAACTATTGGTGAGCTGTATATAGTTTCCTATAACCCTACGATTTCAAATGGGAATTTTACAGGATGTCTATAAGTGCCATCATACTTCATGGATCAAAATGTTGAACAATTTAGAAGCAACATGTGCTGAAAGTTAGGGTAGTGCATAATGTTGAGATGGATGGTTAGCATTGTAAGAATGGTCTCATGTAAGTCATATGTAGATCTAATTGTGTTTTGGATTGTTATTTTAGACCTACATTTCGCAGTTATGCTTCCAGATATATCATCCATAATTTTGTGTTTGCTTCTTGCTGATTTTGTCCTAATGGTATACTTGTGCTTTCAGATACACTCGTATGTTTGATTAGACAATGCTTTTGTTTCATCTATATCAACGAAGATTGGATGATGCTTTATTAGCTAATGCTTTCATTTGATCTTTACAGAAAAACTTATATGATGCATGGATAACTACCTCAAAGTTGCGTGATTCCATCACTATTAAAAGGATCAAGCTACAAATTCTGACACAGAACTTAAAGCTAATTTCCATTCTTAAGGAGCAAGTAAGCCTTTGTTTCCAAGTTATCTCTTTGTTTTAAAATGTCTGATCAGGCCTTTCTTTAATTTGCATTATAGTTCTACTTTAGTTCATGCTTCATATTTCCCTGCAAGTAGACTTGGTCATTTTGTAAGTTTAATGATGAGCTGTTGGCTCAGCAGCCAACTGTCTGTGACAGCCACCATATTTCTAGTTTTGAACATTGGGTAACAAAGAAATGTTATCAGAAGTTTCACACAATTCTTTCATTATTTATGCAGTATCATGACCCCAAAGTGCCAAACTGAAACCCTCCAAAATTTCATGTCTCAAAAAGTGTGTGGTTGAGAGGAAGAAGACATGTATTTAACAAGTGGACAACAATCATCTCTTAGGCAGATATAACAAGCCAAAAGGAGTACCATTCCCTCTGGTTGAATGCTGGAAGATTACAAGTGAAGAATATCTTGACAGAAGACACTTCAGTAATTATAGTGAAATTTAATGGACAAAATTAGTTAGAACAGAAGATACATCCTTGAGTTGCTCCTGACAATTTGTCACTAATCAAGTGAATCTCTTAAGAAAAACATTGTATCATGTTCAAAAAATTTGTTCAATCCTGACAAAAAGCAATCAATTCAAATTGAGAGTTGCTTGAGTCATCCTAAAACCCTTCAACTTACCAGAGATGATTATATTAGGTATGGCCGGGATCTGTCTGGTTGGCTACTGATCCAATTGGTCAATCTTGGCCTATCCCACTAACTCTGTCCAATTTCCACTGAACTCGAGATACTGATTTATACTGATGGACTTCAACTAATCTGGTCAACCTCAATCAATATTTGCTGATTCCAAACTGACCTTAGCTATTTTCAGCCAATCTCATCTTAACAGAGACCTGATCACCCATTGGCCAAGTGGCATATTCCAACGAGGTGTCATCTCAGGGTTCTTAATTTCTATAGAGTTTAAGGACTTTAGCAGTATGAAACGAAACCAAATTATTTAACACAGAAATTTAGAACTTAGAAATGTGTTGAATGGGAAGCATGTGAAGCATGAAGTAGTAATGGCTACCAGAACTTATATTGGAATGTGAAATAAACCAGAGAAGGCGGAGAAGGTTTTCTATAATAATAAGGGTATTTGTAGACTTAGACTTAATGCATCATAACTTCTCTGAGGTGTTAAATGTGACGATTCATTCAAAAATTCCAAGTGTAGCATCAAGACCGTGGGGTAGTACTTGTCTCTTCATTAGAAAAGCTGGAAAAAAGAAATATCTTAATTGTCCCCAAGAAACTTTTCATTTATGAAATTAGCAAACATAATAGTTTATACAAGTCAAATATGCTGCCATATGAAGCGTTTGTTAGAAGGGACATGCTCCAGAAGATGTATAATAATTTATGGAGTCCTTTTTTTGTCTTTTTCTTGATGCAATGGAAGATAAGCTATTATCCTGTAGCTCTTTTCATGAAAATATGATTTTCAAGTTTTGTTCTAATTCTTTATGAATTGTGCATTTCAATATTTTAAAAATTTGTTTACTGCAGATGGTCTATCTGGAGGAGTGGTCTCTCATGGAGCAAGACCATTCGAGCTCATTATCAGGAGCTACTGAAGCATTGAAAGCTAGCACACTCCGTCTTCCCATAGTTAACGGAGCCAAGGTTTGAATTTCCTGCTTTTTCATATCAACAGGTGAACTCTGTGATATCAATCCAACTATGGGAATAATATAGTTGTCTCATTTGACAGGCAGACATCATTGAAGTTAAAGATGCTATTGGTTCAGCAGTTGATATGATGCAAGTAATAGGCTCTTCAATTTGCTCTCTGCTGTCAAAGGTGACTTCCTCTACATATTCATCTTGTTATAAACAATTATGTTTTCCCTTCCATCATTGCTTTGGATGCTTTTGGAGTGTAAGACTGGTCTCTGTTTCAAGTTTTCTATTAGCCATCTAAAATTTGCTTTTGCGGTATCTGCTTTTTCATTGCCTTATGCATTTAACTTGAAGGTAGCTTAGCTGCATTTATCCGTCGCTAGGTTTTGACATGTATAAACAGGCATGACTACCTAAGATAGGTAAACTTATGTTTCTGATATAACCCTATTGATCCAGCAGTTGCACCAAATCATATATGAATTAGGAAATGTGGGTGCTTTGAATCACTTGCCCGACGTTTGCTCAGGAATAAAAATGATATATTGCAAGGAATGATAAATTGACACCAAAATGAATAATCAATGGGAAAGATGGGCACGAGCAACTCCAAGATACAGTTGGTAAGGTTTTGAAGTTGTGCAACTTAAATGTAATCGTGATCAATATTCCAACTTGAGTTACAAACTTGTGCTCTAGTAATTCATTGACATGTTCAATGGAAATTCCTACTGTCAGTTCGGGATTCATTCTATCATATGTGCCAAGGATGGCTATCATTAGTTTCAAATTTTGATCTGTGGTAACCATACGCATTCATACAGGTAGAAGGAACGAGTAACTTGGTGTCTGAAATTACAAATGTGGCTGCACAAGAGCGGGTGCTTCTTGATCGATCGAGATCTCTCTTGTCCACTGTAGCAGCATTGGATGTAAGTCCACTGTAGCAGGACCATCCTTTTTCTTATTTCTCCGGGTTTAAATTTAACGCTGACCTCATGAACCAGGTAAAGCATTGTAGCCTGCAAGGGCAGTTAATACAGCTAAAAGGAAAAGCCAGCCAGATACAAACACAGAGCAGATACTTTTACCAGCCTTGTGATCACTAACATCACAGCAAGCTCTTCTTTTTCTAACTGGAGAGTGGCAAAAGAAATAAAGCATGAATGAAGTATTGGTTTGCATGGTGGAAAGCTATTACTACCTGTCTATCCCTGGCTGATTTGTGTATTTTCTTTTGTTCTCTCTCTCTCTCTCTCTCTCTCAACCTTTTTTTTCTTTATGGGTTATGTGTATCATCACCATATTGTTGGCCTCTTTCGCAGCAGGAATTAGATTGCCTTAGTACATAATGCTAATCAAAGAAAAGCTTCTTATTATTTTGTTCCTTGTTGTTGTGGGAAGAAAAGGAATCTCCATTAATTTGCTTCACTTGCATCTTATTTGTTGTGATGAACGATCCCATAGCCATGATGTTGAAGTTGGAGGTCATTCTCAAGGCATAGTTTGACTCGTGGGATCAACAGGAGTGGCGTCATAATGCTTGTGGACAACGAAGGCCATTCTTTTAGGAACTTGTCTGCTGCAAACTTCTTGCCACTTCTCCATGTCTGATTGCCTTGGGCCAGAGAGTGACCTCCACTCTGAGAAAGGGTTTTCCATTTCTTCCTTGTGTTGCTGCATGCCTTACGAGGATGCTTAGGCAAACACCTCCACCAATAATAATAATAATAATAGAATAAATATTTTATATTAAAATAATAATAATAAATAATCCTAACTTAATCAAGTAAATCACTTGCAACTCTAAGTCTTTTTTTTACTTTCGTAAATCACTATTAAGTAAATCCTAACTTGATAGTATAATTAGTTATTTACTTTGTTGAGCTACACATGATATATTTTTATAATGTCATCCATTTCATCTTTTATGTATGAATTTTCTTATTTGATATATTTAATAATGCATGAAAGTTTTGTACTATGAGATTGATCATCATAATAATAATACAAGAATAATTTAAACATATTTTTCAAACTTATAATCATTCTTATAATATTATATTTGGACCTACACATTTTTAACAATTTTCTTCCTATGGGTACATTATCGATTAATCATCCGACACGTTCGTTATGTGATGCTCAAAAAAAGAGAAAAATATATATCTTTCTTCTTATCATTTATGATCAAAAATATATTATTTATAATTAGGAGGACAATTATCAGTAGAAAAGAAACTTTCTTTAACTATTCATATTCACGTGCATATATCTTATATTATTAACTTAGTATCAAAGAGATTATATCGAGAAATATTTTTTGATCTCGATCTTCGTATACATGACATCTAAAGAGCTCGACATTTCAATCTTAAAAATTTTTTAAATAATTTTACATTCGTATCATATTGGATTGCATGAAATATCAATGATATTTTCTGACACTTAAACGACTTAAAAGAAAAAAGAACAGAGAAGAAAGAAGCAATTTAAGACGACGGTGAACTCCTCATTACATCAGCATGGCATTGCGGCTTTTGGCTGCTTGAGAGGGCTATTGCAAGGACTACATTTATGCCTAGGGACAAGCAAGCTCATGCTGCTTTCATGTACGCCATTGTTGCGTCATGTTGCCACTAGACGCGTGATGGGTCAAAGGCCAATTATATCAGATGTATAGGGATCTCAATATCTTTGGCATCTGAATTAATGTGGAACAGTACCCATCTTCTGTGGCATCGATTGCAAGAAGCTACAACGACATTGGCCTACATCGAGTCAGAATATAGCCAAGCCTATCTTGCATTCCACACTTTTAGGAGTGAGTGCCCAGTGACCATCCCATTGTTATATTTAAAGCATCTCAATCAAAGTAAGGGACGATCCATCTTATGAGTCAAGATTTCGTCATTTATTTCGTTTTTATGTTACTGTGCTTTCCAACGAAAGATTCCAACCCTAATTCATCACATCAGTATGTATTTATCTTATCTTACTGCTGATTTAGTCGTACATATTTTGTTTATTTATTATGTGATCGATCCGAAATAATTAAGATTTTTTTTATTCAGATTTATTTCATATGTAGAATAAAAATAAGACTCAGATGGTCTGATATGATACATGAGGATGTCTGTCTTAACAGGGATGATTAACTAAGTACGCATGGAATCTCTCTCTCTCTCTCTCTCTCTCTTCTCATGGAGTTGGGGAGGGGGGGTTTAATAAGAGCTTGGGGGCAACACAAGAATGTGCTGCCCCATGCCGGACGCAAAAGGCCATTAAGCAACTCAAAGTGGAGTCCTCGTCAACCCCATGCTACCCAAAAAAAGAACAAACCACATCAAGACTAGTTGTATCAAAGTATCAGCTCCAATCACAGCTCTTGTGGGTTCCTCCGATCATCTACTTCTCGGTGCGTGAGCTTGACGACGACGCACCACGCCCTGGCTACCACTAAACAAAGCTAACTGTGCTGCAGAATGGAGATGGAGGACGGTGGCTTTTCTCATGTCAATGTTCCCCTGAAACCCCACCAAATCATCGCCAGTTGAGCGGAGGTCTGTCTATGTCTGTTACACCATTAGTTTAACCGGATGACCATCGTCCATAGAAACCGACCACCTCAAGTCATCACAATGTGAACGGAAAGAACATTTCTTTACCGTCATACATACAATGGCTGTGTGCAGAGTTGAACAGAGTCCCCTGTTTTATGCCAAGGCCTCTCGAATCTTACTTTTACGGAACGTCAAGTCCTAGAAGAAGAAGAAGAAGTGGGAATCGGAGGGGAAAACGCGGCGAGCGAGCGAGAGGAAGTGATGGGAAGCGCGGCTTGCTTTTGGTGAAAGAGAATATTTTGGGAGAGAGGCGAGGAGAGCGCAGAGTGGGGTGCGGCTTTTCCTACCCCGTCATTCTCCACCCAGCGAGGGAGAAAGGCAGCAGAGGGACCGCCGAAATAGACGCTGACATGCGCCGCACACGCATGATTCGCCCACTCCCAGCGAACGGTGCGCCCGCGACGCGACACGCCCACCCGGCGCCTCGTGCCCCCGGGCCCCGCCGCCGCAGCATCGGATAGGATGCCTTCTCCTCCTCCACACGCCTCCTCCTCTCCCCAAGAGCCGTCCCTCCTCCTCTTCCCTTTCGACGGGAAAACCAAACGGAAGGAAACCGAAGAGTTTTGGATAAGCAGGAGACAGCTATGTACCGCTCGCGGCGGAATCGCGAGAAGACGAGCATCATTTAACCGTAAGTACCAAAGCAATATTCTAATAGCATTACCATGATCGAGATGAACAGACGTTTACCATGTAACCACGTCACTCATGCTATTTAGCATGCTTCAACGTACAATGCAGGTTGAGCTGCACGATCACATATCGTTATCAAAATTGGGCTTTGATTTTTTATCATATCTTACGGCATAAATTCGAGAAAATTAGGAGGGAGTTTATTGAGTATTATAAGATAATACACTAATAATACACCGTCTAACGGAAGAGGGCGCCACCTCATTACCCCGAAAGGTTACATAACAACAGAAACCTCGCCGGTTACAGTCCGAAGCCCAAAACTTCCGCGGGGGTCAAAACGGACAAGCCGATCGACGCCCTAATCACGATCAAACCCTCACGTGAAGAGGTTCAGAAGCGTCGGCTCGACGGCGGAGCGGTCGCCTCCGTCGCTCTCGGCGCTCGTCGTCACCGACCCCTCCGAGTTCATCGACGGCGTCGCTGGCCGCCGCCGCTTATCCTCTCTCTCGCTTCTTGGAGACCGCGGGGTCAGGCACAGGTCCAGGTCGCACGCCGCCGCGTAGTCCGCCTTGGATGGAGCCGGTGCCCTCCGCCGCTTGGCCGAAGAGAAGGAGGAGAACCCCATCCTCGGGGGTGGGCAGAGGCCGTCAGCCTCCGGCATCGCGCCGCCGCCATGGGCCTCGGCGGCGAGATTCGGGAGCGGGCGGAGCGCGCCGCCGCGGAGGACGGTCTCCACCGCCGCCTGGCAGAGGTGCCAGTTGCCGGTCCACAGCAGGCCCACGGCGCCATTCACCGGGTTGATGGTCCGCCCGCACGCCTCGTAGAGCAAGGATTGGAACAGACCTGCGGCCAAACGGGTTCGGGCGAGTCAGAACGGAAGGGTTCGGGAAAGAGGAGGGAAGAAACTATACAGACAAGGGACATGGAGGGACGAACCTGGGCGCTGGGAGGAGGGGACGGCGGAGATGAAGGACATAAGGCCGGCGCGGCCGAAGAACTTGGCGACGAAGACGGTGGCGTGGGCCTGAGCCTCGGCGGAGTCGATCCACTGGAGGCAGGGCCGGAGCAGGCAGGAGTCGCTGCAGCCCCTGCGGAGGATTCTGCACCCGTTGCAACTCATCTCCTCCTCCGATCTCTCATCCACCGTCGGTTAGCTCTGTCCCCTCTCTCCTCTATTCGAGTTGCTGTTACCGTATGTTTGGTCCGTATCGGAGCCGACCTGAGCTGCAAGAAACGAACGCCAGAGAAGCGAGGGAAACGGGCGTAGAGGCGGTGAGGGGAGTGGGCGCGTATATATAATGATTTAGTTGCGGCTGGGGTTACTCGACCGTAGAGTTAAGTCAAGGGCCAGGGGAAGTCCGCTTACCGCCTCGGGGCAGCGGTGCTGTTCCAAGGTCGTGGGGTTCGGGACGCAGGCGGCTCCGTGTTGCCGCGGCCGGTTCCCGTTTCCGGAGCGCTGTATTCCGCGTGTTTCTTATTAGCCCTGCTTTCGCTGTTCGCTTTCTTTTTCTGTTTTTCTTGGGCCAGTGAGATCGAGAAGCTTCCGCTGGGCTTTTGTTACTATTCTCGGGGCGTGACGTAATTGGTCCATTCTCAATCGGGTCCAGTTTTTTTAGGTGCGGATCCTCACCTTTTAGGGACGATATCGGGCCAGACCCGAACTCGATTGGTACTGCATTCACATGATACAGTGCTTGCTTCTAATTTTCTGTTTCAATTTAGACTTTGTGATTCGCAAACACAGTTGATGATGTATTACCCAAGGTCCAATCTGGTCATGATTTTATAGTTATAATAATTTTTAATAAATAGTCCTTTCTTTTAACATAAAAAGATAGTGATAAGAAATTCAATTCATATCTAGGGTTAGAAAACTAGTCATGTGTGTAGTAAAGATAGAAATGATGTATGATGTAAAAAAGTTAAATTATAATTTTAATATTTATATTATATTGGTGTCATATATTATATACATTGGCCCTAATCAATTTGACTAGCATGTCTTAAAGGTACGACCAAGTTGTTTGGGTTTGTTCTATGTGGAAGAGACAATCAACTTTTATATTAAATAAGTGCGAGATTAATCTTTTGTTTGAAAGAGTTAGAAAACATATTCATAGAACTTAGGGCATAACTGAATGCATAAACAAGTATACGATTTCATGTGGAATAGCATCGATCAATTTTGTTCCGTGAACCTCAAGGCGTGACTACATGGCCGACATGGCTTAGTCCGACTAGTGACGTCCAGGATCGTTCTGAGGGTGAAGATCTCAATCGGTTGGGTCGAGATTGGACTTGGTGGTGACGCACTTCTCCCCCGAACTCGTTCGTCGTTGCTGCATTTAGATTCCTATGCATAGGCCTAGGTCGGGATGGGGATGATCCCGACTTGAGCCCCTCTGAAGCTTGAGTCAGTAGTTTGCTAATGTTCTCATGCCCCCCGTCAGATGCTGGCGAGGGATTTTTATTGTGACTCCCAAGGGTCGACCGTATGACCGACCCCGATAAGCAACGAATGTACCTTCGGGTGTTCGATGTTCGGGATACGTGGGACTGCACCATGCGGCGTCGTCCCGGGTTTCCCGGGACAGTCCTTGTTTCGGCGGGACTGGTTGGCGCGACACCGAACGACGTGGGGAGATGACCGTTGCATCTCGGATTATCGGCGGCATATCTGTCGTGGCTTTATCTCCCTCCCGAGGTCTTGTGCTCGGGCTGATGTGGCAGGGGTCAGGTCCCCGTAGGATGATCCATAATGTGCCATATCACTTCTCTCCCCCCCCCCCAGTCATGTCTCGAGGTCCTTGTGAGGAGTTGAGGGCACGACTGGGTTGGTAAAACGGCGGTCAGGTGACAGCTTGGCGAGGCGTTGTTTATGAGTCCTTTGGTCGAATTGCATGACTTGGGTAAAGGTTGATTTTGCTGGCCGAGCTACTCGACTTGGGTACTAGGTAGACTGATTGGACGAGACGCTGCTCATACGACTGTTGGCCGAGTTGCGCAACTTGGGCAAAGACTGATCCTACTGGCCGAGCTACTCGACCTGAGCACTGGATGGACTGATTGGATGAGATGTTGCTCATACGACTATTGGCCGAGTTACGTGACTCCGGCAAAGACTAATCTTGCTGGCCGAGCTACTTGACTCAAGAACTAGGTTGACTGATTGGATGAGATGCTGCTCATACAACTGTTCGTTGTGTTGCGTGACTTGGGCACTAGATGGACTGATTAGATGAGATGCTGCTTGTACGACTGTTGGTCGAGTTACGCGACTTGGGCACTAGATGAACTGATTGGACGAGACGTTGCTCGAACGATTGTTAGCCGAGTTGTGTGACTCGAGCACTGGATGGACTGATTGGACGAGATGCTGCTCATACGATTATTGGTTGAGTTGTGCAACTCGGGCAAAGATTGATCCTGCTGGCTGAGCTACTCGACTTGGGCACTGGATGGACTGATTGGACAAGATGTTGCTCGTATGACTGTT